CGATGTTCAAGTACTCGAACTGGCACTGGAAGATTTTGAGTAAATCGTATTATTAGTGCCCTGACGCTCTTTGAGGTTGAGGTGGATGTGCTGCTACTCACTAATGTGGGCACACCCGTCGACTTGCTTGAACATAAAGATGGTGATTGTGATGCTGATGTAGGCGTGCTTGGGGTAAAGAAATTTTAAAAGTTAAAAGGAAATTAAATTGCATTATTGAAGTCAACACATATTAATTATGGGGTTTTATCTGCAATGAGCTTATAAAACTGATTTCGAGCAGCATTTTTAACCTAAACTGACTGTAAGATCTATCTTGAGTCGCCCTTTAGTGGCAGTAGAAAGTATTTCGTTTGAGGGAAAACAATTACTTTTTTTTACGCCAAGAAAGCACCGGTAAATTGCCCCTTTCAACTACCATTACAAAAGTATATGGATACATCCCACGCTAGTCCTGATTCCTACGTATCGAGTTACGTTCGTTGGCAGCAATCCGGCCAGAGAAGAATTTTAGAAAACACCATTGTCAAGAATTTTAAGGATTTTAAGCATCTTTCATGCTTTCCAAACTTCCAGAAACACACCTTGTGCTGATGAAGTAGATGCATTCGAACTTAAGCTTGTCCTCAGTAATCGAGATTTACGTTGAAACACTGAAAGAAATAGACAGTGGGAATATCTTAACACTAAGCCTCGTCCTGCTCAATACTGAACAGCCTTAAACATCCATCAAAAGAATTCCGGAGTTAAATGTAGAAAGAAAATGCTTCCCGAGCCTAAAATGGTAAAAGCTCCTGGCTTTTTTTTAATACTCTATGGTGTACCCATTCTGAACCATTCCCCTTAAGGAGAAGGATTTCTCAACTAAAACTAGAACAACTGAAATTATATTAATTAAATTTTCGTAACGTTAAGAGGTGTGCAGACCTAGGGAGAAGTTGGCTTACAAATAAAGCCAATTAAGCCCAGATAAAGACAACAAAAAATTGTGCTGTGACGGTAGAAATCGTGAAAGATCGGTTTGGAAATTAATTCTAACAAGTAAGCTGGCTACTGCCAAAAAAATAGAGGAATTAAAAGACGGGTGAAAAGATGAATTAGGTATTTTATGAGGAAAAAAGTGCACCGCTTAGATTGATATATTATAGGCAAATCCAGTTTCGTGACCCAAGCTGGCCCAGTACACGAACCTTAACGCAATGAACCGAGATATGGGTTGTTATGCAATGGTAGCAAGCGTTTTTGTTGTAATCAATGCATGTGCCGACATCTCACCTTGACATCGAAGTTTCGCCTCGCCCATTGTGGTCCAACGTGACAGAGAAAATCAAACCAAGCAAGTCACGTGTATTCGGTTCTCTTAATACTCAATTTTATTGCAACCCTTAAACCAGAGTTACCTTAAATGCCATATATCTTAATTGGTACGCCTACTCTATGGAAGTAAATCAAGTTCATTTCATCCAAAACGTTTTTACTCAATGGCCTAAGCGCCACTAAACAAAGCTGAGAAACTTTTTCAATAGGTTCCCTGAGAACTTCTTTGAATAGTATCATACCGACGACGATCGTTCTAGCCACTTCCCCTTCATTCGCTTTACAGCAGCTTGAAATCTTAATAGAGTTATAATTACTTTTTTCTATTTACTTTTCACGCTGGTAATCTTATGAACGTTATGTTTTCGGAATTTTATAGAACACATGTGACTCCTGCTGTGGGAGTAATCTATTTCTGGATGAGGTCTCTGTCGGCTTGCGTCACGCTGCGAATTTCGCTTGCAGGTTGTTCCTGAAATAGCTGTCAGCTCAAGTGTCATGGGAAAAAAGTGGAGGAAAAAAACGCGTCTCTGATTGGGCAGAATTTATTTGGTTAGTCACGAAGAATGCCATAGTCAACTCCCGAAAGTTTTCACCCCGGTCGACGTAGAAGGTGGGGTCGTTGATGATTTCGAAACGTAACTACCGCTAATGATTTATCATGTGAACATCATAAATCGAGATCTCCGTTCAGCGAATGATAATCCACTCTCTAGTGTTACAAAGCTTAGGCCAAGACTTAAACTAAGGGATGTTGATGGGTCTCCCTCAGAACAAAGAAAAAATATGACTACTCACAGAGGAGAGTCGCGTTACATATCACCCACAAAAATGGTTCGACAGTATTTTGGCAGAATTGACCACTTGACGTAAAATGTAGTCTTAGAATCGCCAAAATATTAGGTATCTGTCTTCTCGATAAACATTTGCCATACTCTCAACGTGTGGCTTAATAATACCTCCCAACTAGTATCTGGGAGGCCTGGGTTCGAATCCTGTCGAAGCCCGAATTTTTTCAGGCTTCTTTCCTGAAATTGCTCAAATTGTAGCTCACTTGCAAGGATCCTGGCTTTATTTTTTTCACTCTTTAGTTTTGGCATTAAAGAGTATTTCCCTCAAAGGATAAGGGTAGGTTTTTTTTAAGTAAAACTCAGAGCTATCAGAATTCTAAAATGCTATTTGCGTAATGTTTAGACTTGTGCAGAATTTTGCTCACAAATAAGGTCAACCCCAGACATAGCAACATAAACTATCATGTGAGGGTTGGGAAAATTAATTCTAGCAAGAAAGTTGGCTGCTGCCGGAAACATGGAGGAATTAAAAAAATGAGTTGGAAAGTTAATTAGGTGTTTCGCGAAAGGAAAAATGTTTTCACCATCACACACGTAAACGAAAGGGAGTATAAGTTTAATATTTTATCAAACAACTTCGAGGGGTTCTTTGCATTCTCATCTTTTTCAGTCGATATTTATCTGTGTGGATTGTGGAGATGTCAGTCTAATAAAAAGTCTGAGGCGTATCTACATGCTCCGGCAAAAATATCGCACGAGTGTCCGCAAAAGGGGATTTAGAAGATAACAGTTCCTGCTACAATAATTTTCTTTTTTCTTTTCTAAATAATCTTTAACGACTAATTAAAGCGCTCTAAGCGTTTTGTGAATTACTAGAAAATGTTTGATCTGAAGTTAGATTGCCGGAACGAATTCTAGTGCGGGGGTACACTCGCGTCTCAGTGTTAGTTAATTGTGCACGCTGCATGGTTACTGATTGTGCGCGACGACGATCTTCCATGAGACAATGACGACTTCGTGGGTAAGAGAACTTCAGAGCACTTTTGAGGTCATGAACCTGGTAACTTAATCGTACATATACCCGTGAAAGAGCGCCGTGAGTTTGAAAGAACACGGCACCAAAGAGATCCTAATAATTGTGATTTAGTAGTTATCATCGGAGTTGTGCATGCTTTTGGGATCTTTAGGAATTTGTCGAAGGTGCTTTCGTTCCCAGAAGGCAAATTTCTCAGAACTTGCTTTGCAAAGAGCACAGACGATTTCTGTTATCTTTAAATTCACCCAAATACTGAATAAAATTGCAATAAAGCGCATAACAAAGACCTATTGAAACAATTCAAGGAACTGTTCCACTGTATGCATGTAAATAAACTTGAAATCGCACATATCTTTGCAGGAAGTCATATCAGGACGTGTGGAATGTACGATGTTGGATTTTATGGGCTTAACTGCAAAATACCAAATACAAATTATCATGCGTGGGCTTTTAAGAGGCCTTCTGGCAGCTCTCTGAATCAACAGACTTAACTCGATAACTCTACTGACACTACTTAGATATAATCTTTTAATTCAGTCTCGACTTTTTATCTTCAGAGAGTTCTGAGTGCAAAACAATTGAGACCAGTGTGTGTGGCAAGGTTCGAACAAGCTGCACGCGAGCGGAAGTCTGACGCTTCTTGATCAAAATAATCAATAATATCGCCGACAACACTGGTTTCTCCATCCTTGATTGCATAAAATTATTAGATGCGGTGATTTATTGTTCGGATAATTTAAGCAATAAATAGACTTTCCGATTAGACAGATACGAAGCCATTTTGGAAATAACCAAGCTCAAATCATCGGTCGCGAGCTTTCGAACAAGCTCGCTTTGTTGAGAAAACATCGCTCCTGCAGAGATGCGAGACTTACGAGCAGATAAGATTTATCAACTGCTGTTTCTAGGATCCTATGAAAACAATTTTTCCGAAGCGTAAACATTTGTGGCTGGCTGTCAAGCCAAAACTTGACACTGCACTTGGCATCGTTGCCAAATTGTAAATATTGCACAAGAAAATGGCGAGGTTATCTCGCAATACTCCCAGATATAACCCGCTTATCAGATGCAGCCGTGGCTAATCACATGGCTAAAGCGTGCCGGTAGCTTTACTAAAAGTAACCTTTCACCGCCAGGCTTATATTTGCTTTACTAAACAATCTCTCGACCAATCATTTCAATCCAACCAACATTACAATGCAACCATTAATAATTTCATTGTGCTCAATACAAATGTTCTTGGGACAAAAAAGTTTTACTAGTCAAAATCGGTACCCCATCAACGTAATTCTGAAAGCTTACTTCGGTGCACCACACAATCACCCTGGGGCAACGCTCAATTTTCCCAGCAAGAGCAAGGAAAAAATAGCATCTATTGTGGAAAGTGATATACGGAAATAGATTTTCGTTAAATAAAGAACTGAAGGTCAACAATGACTCTTTGTCAAAAGGTCACCTTCCAATTTTGGAGTAGCATAATGAGCTTTCTGGAGCTAACCGTTCCGAATACTACACGCAAGTTAACGATCCGATTAACACCTTTTTCGCTAAGTTAAATTCAATTAACGTCATCTTAAGTTGCTGCATCTGAGATACGCAGGAAAATTTTGCTGGGAAGAGAGTTTTCTGTACGATTTAAACAACACAGCAGCCACGTGAACATATTAAAACATTCTCTGAAACACTGAGAGCACTCGATCAAAACGCGACTAATGAATTATTGTCTTAATTAACACGACTAGAATGGCGTGATGATCGCCGATAAATAGATAAGGTTCAATGGGGTGTAAACAATTTGTTCGCATATTTATACATCATTCTTTCCCTCTCAAGACCATTTGAACCTTGATCGCATCTGTGCGCAGAGCGGAGAAGAGAAGACCAGCTCTTGCAGAACCTCGAGACCACTATGAGTTTTTCGTTTGATGATTTCCTTTCAGCTGGGCAGATTTTGCTCTTATGTTGTGTAGTCTGCGTTTTCCTGACAGGAAAAGCAATATGGCAAAATTCTTTTTCCAAGTTGCCCCCAGGTCCTTGGGGCATGCCAGTTATAGGTGAGTTTAACATTCCTAAGTCAAAAAAATTTATTTGGCTAGGTTCTTTAACTGTTCATCTTTATCGCTAAACTATGACTCTCTAGCCTTGACACTCGTTTTTAACAGCTGCCAAATTGTTTTGACGTCGGAAGTCAAATAAAGTAAAATTTTCAGTAACTAAGGTTAACTTTTAAGAGAGCCTGCACGTGTTTATCTTGAAAAATAATTATGCAACTTTGTCGATTTAACTCTTTGCAAGATCTTCAGGAGTTATGTAACGCCTCTTTCTTGGCCTCTCAGTACCGGTACAGTACGCTAGTGCGTGAGCACTTTCTTCTGTTTAATAAGACTATGTAGCTAAGACTTTCTATGAAATCGCCTTTATTCAGCAAATCAGATTTTGGTGACTGCAGACAATAAAAGAAATGCAAAGAATGGAAATTCTTCGGAGTTACATTTTCTTTGCTGCGAAGGAGCAATAACTATTTCTCCGTGAGAAAGACTCTTTGTTCTAAGAGTCAAGCAAGAAACTGCATTAATGAATAGGTAATTAGAGAGAGTGCCCCTTGCATGACAAGAGCGTCCGAACATCGTGAATATTGCGTGTTCGTGGCCGATAGTGACGGAACTTTGTTTATTTTAAGTGTTTTTTTTTTTCAAATAAAAGCACAAATTACGCCTGAAGATTCCAACGCGACTCAGGCTAGCACAGAAGACCGTATACTTCTCCGGTCAACTAAATCTTTGTTCACTAATCTACAGAAACCTTTGCGAACAAAACCAAACAATTAAAACCTGATTTGAAATAAAGTCACTTTGGTAAAAATACTCATGATAACGCCCTTTGCGGAAAATGTCGGGCCATTAAAAGTTCTTTCAATTTGGTCTTTCGAAATATAGTTTGCTTATTCGCGAAACTCAAGAAAGTAAAGGATATTACAATAGAGCTTATTGGCGTAACAGATGAAGGAAAAGAAAAAGAACTTGTGGCTGTCATTGAGCCTTTCGAAAATCATCAACTTCAAGTAGAAAAACCAATTTTAAAAGCGTTTTTTAGCAACCAGAGAATTTTTACATTGTCTGATCTTTCTGTAGCTCTGTGTAAACAAATTTGGACTTTGACACTGAAGCACACCCTGGGATTAGCAAAGGCAAAAGCCACTGTTTAGTACTTGGAACAAATTACGTTAACGCTATTCATTCTTATAAAAAAAAACATTTTGACACTAAATTATCCGGTTAAGGCGTGATTCAACTTGGAAAACAACAAAAAAATTCAGTTAACCAAAGCGAGATTTTCGGTCGATGGAGATTTTGCCGTCACTGTAACACGGGCAAACATCATCCAGGCCACGTGCTAGGCACAACCCAGAGAACAAATGCGGACGTGAGCTATTCTCTAAATAAGCAGTACCTATTATTTGAAAATCTCGCCTGTTTTCAAAAGAAAATTACAGCACACTATTTCTTATGCATAGCCTCATTACTGAGAGAATGTATCGTGCTATTAGCCTACGTCTGAGTCAGCTCCTTTGAAACGTTTCCGTAAGACATTCATCCCGTCACTTAGTGTCAATAAGGGTAGACAGATGAGTCATTCCGTATTCATACGTAAGCGGCTGAGACGTGCTCGAACTTTTATCTTTTCAAAGGCAGTATTTTAAACAATGGTTGACAGGAGTGTTTCATGACTAAAGCCTAGAGATTATTGATATGGCTTAGTAATATTACGTTGATTTGTCTTTACAAATGAGTAAACTAGGATACAAAGACCAAAAGATAATCGGTAGATTAAAGGTCTCGAAGTCCAACTACCCTAATGAAGCTTTCACGGTCATTTCAGTTCCTTTCTTATATCTGCCCTTGTAAGTTGATGCAACGAAGTTAGGTCATAGTTACTTTTCAAATATTGACATGCAGCTCCTCAGTCTACGATGGAACTGAATAAAATTATTTTGACAGTATTCTAGAGACGTAATTCTCATAAAATAACTTGAAAAAAATCTCTTAAGACTGATCACCACTTGGATTTTACCACTCCACATGATATTAGTGACAGTTTAACCTGTTTAACCACCATCAAACAGCAAAATGTTGATCGAAGATATGTTATGTTAGTTTAGCTTGGTTCAACAAAGATGTAACTTCTCAGAAGCAGACCTGACGTTACTAAGATTTCAAAAAATTGTATTCCTTATTAAAAGTTTTCTTTCTTTTGACCCAGTTTTAATGCATTGTTTGTGATGACATTTTTGGTCAGACCTAGAAGAATGCATAACGAACTCTTTTGGAATAGTTTTCGACTTAGGATTGGGTTATCGACAAGATGGTTCATTTCATAGATACGGCTGTTAATCTTCATCAAAATGTCCACCGAAATAACAAAATTATATTTTACTTAGCTCAGAAAGCCTGTAATAACAACTAAATGACTTGAGTTCAAAAATGTAAATCTAGTTTGAAGTCAGATTTTAAAGTTTGCTCTTTTAATGAATTGTTAATTTTTCCGAATGTTACAATAGGTGCTTGTTTCCGTTTGGGAAAAAATCCCCATATTGAGTTCACCAAGATGGCGCAGCAATACGGGGACGTGTTCAGTCTGATGCTTGGGAATCGCCTGGTGGTGGTGCTAAATGGACTCGATACAATTCAAGAGGCCCTTGTAAAGCATTCCACAGCCTTTGCTGGGAGACCACAGCTCCACACTTTTAAACTTGGCAATCGTGAGGGCACCAGTCTCACCCTGAGTGATTACACTCCACAGTGGCGTCTAACCCGTAAAATCAGCGTCTCTGTGATCCAGAATTTTGCAAAGAATACAGAAAACTTACAAGAAAACCTGCTACAGGAATGTCAACGCTTGATTTACTTCCTTAAACAACAGAAAGATAAACCCGTTGACGCCCTCATAGCTTTGAAGTTCGCAACAGGCAATATCATTCTTAATGCACTCTTCGGAGTTAAGTTTTCATACGACAATGAAGCCCTTCGAAAAATACTTAGCATCTCTGACCGCTACGGAAAAGCTATATCTGGCAGCGCCATCGTTGATTTCTTTCCATTCTTGAAGTACTTCCCGAACAAGGCACTCTCCGATCTCGTATCCTTAATGACGGAAACCTTGGATCTCCTTGGTAAGATGTTTATGAAGAACAAAGAGACCTACACCGATGGGCACGTTCGCAACATCGCCGACAGTTTCATCGATACGGTCGAGAAAGAAACAATGAAAGACAAAGAGAACAGTTCGAGTAGTCAGAACACACTTAACATGGCTCCCCTACTCAGTGATGAGCAGATTGTCCAGGGCATGGCAGATCTCTTCGGCGGCGGGTTCGAAACGTCGTCAACAACTCTTAACTGGGCCCTAGCGTACCTGATCAAGTATCCCGACATCCAGCGCCGACTCCAAGACGAACTAGACCGAGTGGTTGGAAGAGAACGCCTTCCTGTTCTTGAAGACTTGGCCTCACTTCCCCTCCTCCAAGCTACAATCTACGAACTTATGAGGATAACATGCCTTGCTCCTCTTTCAGTGCCCCGTTCAACGACCACTGAGACGAAATTTCGCGACTTCGTCATCCCAAAAGACACGATGGTCTTTGTTAACTTGTGGTCCGTGCACCGTGATTCAGAAATCTGGAAAGATCCGCATGTTTTTAATCCATGGCGCTTCCTGAACGGTGCTGGAGAGCTGATCGATCCAAAGTCCTTTGGAGGCTTCCTACCATTCTCTGCTGGTCGTCGAAAATGTCCTGGTGAGCCTCTAGCCACGAAAACAATCCCCGTTTTCCTTGCAACGCTAATTCATCACTTCCGATTTTCACAGGAAGGTTTGCCGGAAGAGTGTCAAGGCATTAATCTTGAGGGCAATTGTGCTCTCACCCTATCGCCAGAAAAGTTTTACGTACGTATCGAGGAGCGAATGTAAATAAACTCTATAATCGAAGGAACTACGATTTAACTGATCTCAGCAACATTATTCAAAAATCATAAAATTTATAAAAACTAGAAAGGGACATGCAACCACTGGAAAAGCTAATTAGCATCAGAGTTTATTAAACGCGACAGATCTTTATAGCTGATATAAACTTGTGTTATACACTTTGAGATGACTTCATAGGTTGAAATCGTCATTAGAAATAAGTGTAATTCGTACTTCACTATTTTTTATATAAAACGCATAATAATCATATTATTTGTATAATCTATTGATTCGATATTGATACACTAATCGCCATTTCGCTTGAGCATGTTTAGTTGAGATTGAGTCGTACATTGCGACAGGTTTTCACGTGTCTTATCCAGAGAGATAAGTCATGCGCATGTACGAAACCACTAGATCGAACTTGAGACACAACTATGTACATATTGATTAAACTTAAGCTTTTTCATCAAACTTCTGTTTTCATTGTCTTCTCATAGCTCGGCTACTCTATATGAACTCAGTAGTCCTAAAGGATACAGCTTGCCCGCCATCATTTGTCCTTCTAACCTAGATTCAACAGGGAAACCTGATCCTTAACTATGGTATAATAGAAAATGCTACAAGAAATTGAGTTTCTTTTCCACCGATCGTCTGAAGACTCCTGATGTGTGTTAAAGCCAATTGAACTTGAAAACAATCGAGGTCTGGTATGGTCAAAATTCTTATCAGATATGTTCGTTCAAACTATCAGCAATGTTTTTTTTCTTTATCAGTGACTAATTTTTGCCATCTTTACCCTTTACCCTCGCCCAATTAATCAGTTTGTGAAAATACAATGCTCTAAGAAGCTCACTCTTTAAATGATATCAGTTTGAAGAAGAGTGTTGCTAGTCAGACGCAAAGCTAATTCACCCTAATTCACCACGTCCGTGATGGAGATCAAGGCAAAGGCCAACAAAATTTGTGGTCTCCTTTCAGTAAAGGTAACCTCAAAAGGACCCGACCGATGGGCGATAACACTGATGATAAACTTAGGCTGCTATGATGGTTTTCTTTGGGATTTAGACGACCTATATGTGCAGCTAGGTAAAATAAGCTGATTTTTGCAGAGCAGGTTAGAATCGACATTGGTCTCATGGTTATCACCCAGTGATACCGTGCAATTTTTAACGAGAAATGTTCTCATTGTCGTTGATCAGTACCTTTCCACCTGAGTATAATTTCCCTTCAAGAAAAAACGAGATAAACACAAGCAAAGTAAATATTTGTCTAGTAACTTCTCTGAACAATTGGATCTATCAAACCGTGACCATATCATGTCTTGCAGCTTCGTTCGATCAATAGCGTGTCTTAAGCCTAAGCTTCTCAGAGACACTGCGACAGGAACCTTGGGCCTAATCGCCCAGTTTGCCTTCGACGGCTATATTTCAGTGTTTCGGTCCACAGAAGATTGTGGTAATGATTTGACCGTCCGCAAATCAAGGCCAAATACAAGCAAAGAATCTCATGCCAAACATGTGCTAACCACAACCCAGAAAACAAACACAAGACCTGACCTATATTTACCAAATGAGCAATTAAAATCTTTTTTAAAACTATTTAATTAGTATGCACAACCATGACGGTAGCCTATAACAGTTCGATCATGTGTTAGGATTAAGGCACGCCATAAAGCGCCACAGAGTTTACCCTGAATAAGGTCTAATGTTGTCTGGCATGAAAGACGAGCTGTTCAATCATATCTTTCCCTAAGAAGTATTGCAAACCGCAGGCTTAGCACGTTTGTCATGCATGGCGAAAGCCGACAGATCACGACTTTGGCATTGCTATATCACCCTTATGATCAATTTTTTTTTTCAAAGAAAAGAAGTACTAGAATACAACAACTGTATTGCCATAAGTTATTATAGAACACTTTCCTGCAGATATCGGCTCCAGAAGTTCACCGCAATGGAATGTTTCCAAGAAAAAATTTACACAACTAATGCTTAATCTGTCTCTGTAATTGTTTCAATTTCCTGCAGGAGTCGAATAAGACCTCATAAATTGGAATATTTGAGATCAAATTAGTCCATACTTAATTGTTGTAGGTCCACCCAGTGAAGGTCAGATTTTGATCGCTTTGTAGCATGCAAGTAGTCACGTTTCTCACTTGATTCTTGACAAAGGCTACACAACAGAAAAAGATTGGGACGAGACAGGGAGTTATATAATATAGAGAATGTAAGTTCATGCTGAGTGCTTTGAAAGCTTAACTTTTGATAACCTCGAGACGGCGAGAAATGAAATTTCTTGTGAACTAATTTCTCATTAATGCCACGAATTCATTCCTCTTGTTACAAATCTCTGTTGGCCCAACCAGGACATCGGTGAGTATTATGGCTGGCTCGGGGTACAGAAACAGTTTTAGGAAAGATTTAAGCAATCTTCCACAAAGCCTTTAACCAGTTGTGCACATCAAACAAAAACGCACATGTTTTATTACTTAAGGATCCTGTCTACTCTAAGCGATTACCGATGATAAGTGAAGGACTCCTTAGCCAAGGTAGAAAAAATGGGCTTTCCTCTGATGACTATCCCCCACCGGATTACGTATTCTCACCGACTGGACAAGCCCTCATAAGCGAAAAAGAGAATCTCCATGCACCTCCTTCCTCAACCTGCCACCTTTAACAGCGTCTTACACCTGACCGTAAAGACATAAAAGATGCATAATTCTTGTCAGTGATATATACCTCATGCTGATAACGTGCAATAAATATGATTAGCAAAGCTGCTCATGATCGATAAGTGTTCTATAGCGCCAATAGAGTTTTAGTAAGACAATTCCGAATACCCTTGTTCAATTGTGAGAGGAGTAACTTTATTATATTTACGTTTTCATGGAAAACACCTGGAAAAATTGAAATTTTTACCTTCATGATCAAGCTACTACAACTAAGTGATTTTGCACTGTGCTTTTGAATAAAGCTTAAGAACACATTGACAGAGACTGTCCTAAAATAGAAACCAAGACTAGTAATTTGAATTTTCCGCTCTGTCGTGCGAGAGAGTGTTTCCTTCTCGATACGTATTCAGTGCTCAGTGGTTTCGGAAATCGTAATACCATTTTGGTAAAGTTCGACAAGAATTAACGGAGACAGCGTGCCACCCAAGTTTCATAGGATCAAAAGTGCCCACTTGATATCACTTTTACCGCTTCAAACTGTCTGCTACGTGATAGTCGTTTCTTAATACTTTCACTTCGCCTTCAGCGATAGTTAAGAAATGCCGGGAACTTATTAAGTCATAGGCTCCTGGAAATGTTAAATTTGTTTTTCGAATATGTTTGATAAAAACGGCAATAGGGTTGCATTTCAAATCACAATCATTCAACAGCTCAAAGGTGAAAAGAAATCAGTGAAAGAACCCTTTTAAGTTGAGAAATATTGCTCTTCCGTGATTTTGTGAGTGTTGATCCAATATCACTGGTTCGTTGTTGATTGATCAATTTAGCACCACGCCCGACTGTGAAGGAGTTAAAGTGGACACTTGAATTCAGTTTTCCTGTTTTGATTCGGCGGTCATCCTTAGGTAAGATAAAAGCACGTTGTGGCTTATTTTTTGGTTCTGCGGTCATAATGTCCCGGGAGATTAAATGAATTGTGGTCCATTCTATTTATAGAGAACAGCTGACGGGGTAAGGAAAAAATAAAAATTGTTTCCCAGCCGCAGGCGAGTGCATGTTCCACTGAGTGAGTCAGCTGAGTTTCACATTTGATTTATATGAAACTTAATGAATGAAACTTTCACTGTCTTTACTAATTTATTTGTTTGTCAACTGGTACCTTCATTCATGTTTATAAATATGCTTATATATAACAAATGATAATAATAATAATTTATGGGGAAAGTGGAAAGCCGGGCATCCCTGTAAGAATCAAACAAAGTTGAAAACCAAAAAACCAGAAGTATTTAGATGATTACTCACTGTTAGATGTTCAGAGTAAATTAAAAAGTATGGAATTAACCTCTAACTTTTGGTTATCAAAATGAAACGAAATTTTTGTTTTAAAGCGATGATTCCTCAATTTTACCAAAAAGGTGTTTCTAAAAGTGCAATATGTTAAGTTCCGTATCTTAGATCCATAAAGACATAAAGATTCCTTCAGATTTAAAGCAAGAGTAACCTCTATGATTCTTCTTCATATTCATGATAATTTAGTGATTTTACTTGAAATTACGATGTATTTGAACTTTCGGACATAAATGAAGCTCAATTAAAAATGGCAAGCCATTCTTAGCATATTCATTCTCTTATGAATAGAATTGTGGATTCTCTGCGGCTCTATTTTTCTCGAATAGTTGCTGGAGAACAAACTTTAATAATCAGTTACTCCTCGGCATATTTTACAAAATAAAGCATACCGTGACTCATTGGAAATGTCCCATAAAAATTGAGTCTCATCGTAAAATGCAAAACAGAGTAAGATATAAACAGGAAAATGAAATTCAAATTATGAAGCACGCTTTACAGTTTTTACTCCTGTCACTGATCCTGCTTTTCATGTGATATTTGTGGCGATACCCATGCTGACTTAAGGTCACTGATGGCGTAAAACAAACGCAACATCACCGGTGTTTAGCAGGAGGTAAACAAACTGACATTACCGTGAAGTTACGTAAGCAACTATTTTTCCCTTGAATTGCCTTGTGCTTCTCCGTCAAATGTGCCCATCCGTCTCTGAAGAATGAATTCAATGCTACTTTTGATCTCAATACTTCTTCAAAGGAGTGCAATCCCCTGCTTGCACTGATAAATTAGATTCGAAATTTTTCAAGTATGATCCGATAAGACTGGTCGAATGCACGTGCAAGCTGTAACAAGCGAGATATTTACTACTTCATAATTCCCAACTTAATGTGTCCCAGCTTTTGCGGTGTTCATCAGAATATCAATACTTATGCGTCGATCGTTGGCTCATCGGCTATTATGTTGCTCTACAAAATTTAACAGACTCACAGGCGTAACGCGTATCTTTTCACCTTTAACTCCCAAGATCTAATTGTTAATTCTCCCCTCTAGCTGCAAACACATTTCCCTGTAAATCAGTTATGAGAATTTGCAGTTAGATCAAGATAAGAACTTTTAGCTGATATGTTTGAGTGTTCTCATCACCTATATGCTGGGTTATGCATGGATATTAAAGAGAGACGTTGCACGTTGGTCTCTTCTGGGAGTTGAAGGTTGAGGAATAATCGCAAGAAAAAATATTACAAAATTTTTTAAGGGCAACGTTGAGCATGTCACTAAAAAGAAACAATATACGAATATAAAATGCACTGTAAAATGTAGATCTGTTGTTACGAAAGCGACAGCAGCTGCTATAAAATGGCAGGAAATACTCTAAGCTGATAATTTCACCTAGTCAAATAAAAACTTCATTAACACCTTTACGCTCTCGACTTGTTTCTTTTGTTTGGATTCATTG